GGAACGGGGAAGGAGTGTGAAGCTTCCATGCTCTCTGAGAGCACCACTGTCTCCAAATCTCCATGCATTCACCAAACCAGAAGCTCTTATAATCTCATTTTTAATATCTACTAATTGAGTAGACATAAATTGGGTGTATCATTTTTAAAAATATTAACACTGTGATTCCATAGCAGTTTATTTATTTATTTATGGCTGCCCTGAATCTTGATTGCTGCTCGAGGACTTTCTCTAGTGGCAACGAGTACCGGGCTACTCTCTAGTTGCAGTGCATGGGCTTTTCATTGAGGTGGCTTCTCTTGCTGTGGAATGTAGGCTTCAGTAGTTGTAGCTCATGGGGCTTTAGAGCAAGAACTCGGTAGTTGTGTGCAGGCTTAGCTGCTCTGAGGCATGTGGAAATCTTCCTTGACTAGGAATGGAACCCACATCCCCTGTATTGGCAGGCAGATTCTTCCCTGGACCACCAGGGAAGGCCCAAGTATATAAATTTTTTAAGAATTTATTTTCTTGGTAGTTTTCTAGGAGGGAATTTGCTGAGTCAAAGAATATGAATATTTTATATTGCCAAATTTCTTTGCATCAGACAACCTGAAAACTACACTGTCTGGACATGAAATACAAATTAATTTAGGCTAAAATTTCTGATGTAAATGAAAAGCAAATAATGGCACATTTTTCATAAATGACACAATTGTGTATTTAGAAAAACCAATGGATTCTGTTTTTGAAAAATGGAATAAGAGATGTTAGCAAGGTTGTTTCAGAAGGCAAGGTCAATAGTGAAATGCTATTGTATTTCTACATACTTGTAACAGCTAGATAATGACTTTTAGAGGGCCAAACTTTACATATCCTTTATTCAAGCCACTTAAGTCATCCAAATATTATTCTTAACTTTTGAGATAGTCTTTTAAACATTGAGACTTCTTTTACATCCGAAGATTACTTTAGAGAAAGAATAGCCATCATGCTTAAAGCTGGTGGAGTGAGCTCAGCTACACGTGGACTTCTGTGATATAGAGGTGACCTTTCAAGTACCGAGCTTGGTGTCTTTAATCCTTTCCCACAGTATGAAGTGATGGAGTACCTTTACCCAAGCCAGTACTGAATACGTGTGTGTTCCTCACCAGATGCTGGTACAATTTTAGTTAAAACAGTTCTGCAAAAGGCTTTCTTCATAGTAACTAGAAATGAGTGATTAAAGGTCTTTTCTGGTTGTTATAAATGAACTAGACCATGCTAAATAGTAAGATCCACATCCGGTTGTTGGCTCAAGATACAGCTGTATTCTCTCAGCAGGATTTATTTGGTTTTATTTATTTATGGTATAAATAGCTGACATAAAACATTAGTTTCAGGTGTACACTACAATGATTCAATATTTGTATACATGGCAAAAAGATTACCGTGATAAGACTGGTTAGCACTCATCACCACACATAATTACAGAATTTTTTTCTTGTAAAGAGGACTCCTAAGATTTACTATCTTAGCAACTTTCAAATTGTCAATACAGTGTTATTAATTATGGTCACCAAGCTGTACATTAGATCCCCATTAGTTATTTATTTTACAACTGGAAATTTGTACTTTTTGAATCCCTTTACCTGTTTTTCCCCACTCCCCACCCCTGGCAATTACCAATCTGTTCTCTGTATCTATGAGCTTGGTTGAGGTTGTGGTTGTTTTAAGACTCCACATATAACTGAGATCATACCATATTTGTATTTTTCTGACTTATTTCCCTTAGCATAATACCCGCAAGGTCCATCCATGTTATCACAAGTGGCAAATTTATTTCTTTTTTATAGCTGAATAATATTCAATTTGTGTATATATGTATATACTACATCTTCTTTATCCATTCATTTGCTGATAGCACTGAGGTTGTTTCCATATCTGAGCCATTGTAAATAATGCTGCAATGAATACAGGGATGTATATATCTTTTCAAGTTAGTGTCTCTGTTTTCCTCAGGTAAATACTTAGAAATGAAATGCTGGGCCATATGGTAGTTCTATTTTTAATTTTTAAAGGAAACTCCATACTGCTTTCCATAGTGGCTGTACAAATTTGCATTTCTACCAACAGTGCACAAGGGTTTCCTTGACTCCACATCCTCTCCAACACTCGCTTTTTAATAATAGCCATTGTAACAGGTGTCAGATGACGTCTCATTTCAGTTTTGATTTAAATTTCCCTGATGACTGGTAATGCTGAGCAATTTTTCATGTACCTCTGGCCATTTGTTTACCTTTGTTGGAATAATGTCTATTCAGATTCTCTGCCCATTTTTCAATTAGATTATTATTATTACTTTTTTTGTCATTGAGTTGCATGAATTCTTCATATATTTTGGATATTAACACCTTATCAGACATATGATTTGCAAATATTTTCTTCTATTTAGTAGGTTGCCTTTTCACTTTATTGATGGTTCCTTTTGCTGTGCAGAAGCTTTCTAGTTTGGTGAAGCCCCATTTATCATTTTTACTTTTGTTGTCTTTACTTTTTATGTCAAATTCAAAAGATCATCACCAAAACCACTCTTCTATTAGGAGTTTTATGGTTTCAGGTCTTAACATTCAAGTCTCTAATCCTTTTAGAGTTAATTTTTGTATTTGGCATAAGACTGTGGCTCAGTTTCATTCTTTTGCATGTTGCTGTCCAGTTTTCCCAACACCATTTATGAAACAGAGTATTCTTTCCCCATTGTATATTATTGGCTCAGATGTCAAAATTAATTGACCATATTTATGTCAATTGTTTTTGTTGTTATTCCAGAAAGGAATATAATATGCTAACAGGTTATATTAATAAAAATATATGTGATTTTCCTCTATTAAAAATTCTTCCATTTTTTTAATGAGAAAAATTAACATTACAAGCTTTTAAAAAGAAGCTGTTTGTTAAAGCAATCCTCAAAATAAACTTCTAGAAATACCATACCACAGTACTGACCTAGTAAGTTTTTGCTGAAACAGTCCTACTTCTTTCCACTCATGTGACACCGGACAACACTTCATAGGATTAGGTTTACATGGAAAATACTCCTCAAATAACAGAAGGTACTTATTTCACCCCAATCTACCCAACATTTGGGAAATACTGCCACCCAGTGGACGGTAGGAATTTAGTTCCTGTTTCCAGCGATTTCCTTCCTGCTGCTTTGCTCGTGCTCTGTCACTTCAGCCGTGGCGACTCTCTGCGACCCCATGGACCCCGGCCCGCCGGACTCCTCCGTCCATGGGATTCTCCAGGCAAGAATACTGGAGTGGGTTGCCATTTCCTTTTCCAGTGATAAAGTATGAAGTGAGTGAAGTGAAGTTGCTCAGTCGTGTCCGACTCTTTGCGACCCCATGGACGGTTTTCCAGGCAAGAGTACTGGAGTGGGGTGCCATTGCCTTCTCTGCCTGTCGCTTTAATTCTGTATAAAAGTCAAAAGACCAAAGGCTGTGTGTGTATGTCTGTGGAAACTTCGGAGGCTTGGGTTAATCCAAGAGGGTTAACGCAAATAGCTGCTCATGTATTTGTGAGCCAAGAAGAATAGATGAAATCCCAACTAGAAGGGAGGCTGAAGTGGGAATCGTCACAGGTTCAAGGGACTGAATTGTACGCTGAGTATACTGAGGAATGCACGTAGTACACTGAATAATGCATCTTGGTTCCAATTTTAGAATCTATCCTAAGGAAATCATCATGGATGTGCAAAAATTTAATGTTGGTGTTTATAATTTTTTTATAACATGAAAGATAAGAATGCATAGTCCTATAATTGAGGATTAATTGAATAAATAACAATACACCTCTGTAATTAAAGTGACCATTAAAATGATATTAAAAATGTGCAGAGATAAGAAATTGCAAATCTATTTTTTAGTGAAAAATGCAGATCACAAAGTAGCATACATCACACACAGGTAACAGACCACAAAACATCAACATTTTAATAATGACAATAATAATTAACATATATTCAGTGATTACTATGTGACAGGTAGATTAAAATAATTACTTTGGACCCACCTACTTTGTCCTTCTCTAACTTAATCCTTCTAATGTTTCTCTCTAATTCCATTCCTAGCCTTGCTGGGGCCCTGGAGCTCTTTGGTAGCCTGATCAAGTATATGGACTCCAGAATAATGTTTTTAAATACATAAAACACACTGTATTAAATAGGAAACAAGTTCCTCTGAAACACAATTATTAAAATATCTAAAAAATTATGATATAGTAACATGTATATATATTATATATATGTATAGTATATATTTTATATTAAATAATCTATGTTATATATGTTTCTTTATCAACATATTAAATAAGATGTAGTAGAAGGTATGGGCTTCCCTGGTGGCTCAGTGGTAAAGAATCCACCTGCACGGCAGGAGATGCAGGAGATGTGGTTGGATCCCTGGGTCGGGAAGATACCCTGGAGGAGGGCATGGCAACCCACTCCAGTATTTTTGCCTGGAGAATCCCATGGACTGAGGAGTCTGGTGGGCTGTAGTCCATTGGGTCACAAAGAGTCGGACATGACTAAGTGACTGAGCACACACACACACGTTACTAGAAGGTGTAGTAATAATTTTCTAAGTGGAAATATTAATGTGATATTTCAAGATAATTACAACTGTGATTTGATGTGAAAGTATTTGTGATTTCTGCTGGTGACAGTCATTGTGTTTTGTTGGCTGTTTTCATAGCTGAAGGAAATGTTAAACTGCAGCTACAAACTAGCATTAATAAAGACACTATTTTTCTCTATCCGTTGGGATGTACAGTAAGAACCTGGCCTTCCAGTCTATTATCTAGCCAGCTTCAGATCATGTCAGTCCACTTTCAAACCCCCAAGTGGCTTCCCATCTCATTTAAAATCTTTACCCCAAGAAAATCTGGCTTCATAGTTTCCTTCCTGATAGCATTTCCTACCAGTCCCCTTCTCCTTCCCTGCCTTCCAGCCTTGTGTGCAATTCTTTTAAAAAATTCTTCTTTTCTGGGTTCCTCCCTCCCTAAGATGGCAGCAGCTGAAGACAAGTTACTGCTACCTCGGCTCCCCGAGCTGTTCGAAACCAGCAAGCAGCTTTTGGACGAAGTGGAAATTGCAACTGAACCCACCAGCTCCCAAATAATCCAAGATAAGGTGTTCAAGGGCCTGGGTCTCCTGAAGAAGGCTGCTGAAATGTTGTTGCAGCTCGACTTGTTCAGCCAAAATGAAGATTTGGAGGAGATCGCGTCCACTGACCTGAAGTACCTGATGGTGCCAGCATTTCAAGGAGCGTTCACCATGAAACAAGTCAATCCCAACAAGCGCCTAGATAATTTGCTGTGGGCTCGAGAACACTTTTTAAACTACTTAACTCAGTGCCAGTACTATCATGTGGCAGAGTTTGAGCTGCCCAAAACCAAGACCAACTCAGCTGAAAATAACACTGCTAATTCCTCCATGGCCTATCCCAGCATCATTACTATGGCATCTCAGAGACAGGCTAAAATAGAGAGATACAAGCAGAAGAAGGAGGTGGAGCATAGGTTGTCTGCATTGAAATCTGCTGTGGAAAGTGGTCAAGCAGATGATGAGCATGTTCGTGAATATTACCTCCTTCACCTCCGAAGGTGGATTGGTATCAGCTTAGAAGAGATTGAGAGCATTGACCAGGAGATAAAGATCTTGAGAGAAAAAGACTCCACAAAAGAGGCATCAACTTCTCAGTCATCTCGTCACGACAGGCCTCCAATGAAACCATTTGTTCTCACTCGGAACATGGCCCAAGCCCAAGTATTTGGAGCTGGCTATCCAAGTCTGGCATCTATGACAGTGAATGACTGGTATGAACAGCATCAGAAATTTGGAGCATTACCAGATCAGGGAATAGCCAAGACAACGTCAGAGTTCAAAAGAGCAGCTCAGCAACAAGAAGATCATGAGGAGGAAGAGGATGATGAGCAGGCAGTCCGCAGAGCTCAGGAGTGGGATGACTGGAAGGACACCCATCCTAGAGGCTATGGCAACCAGCAGAACATGGGTTAGCCTCCCAACAGCAAGACAGGACAACAGAGACTTACATCTTCCCCGCCAAGGACAATGAAGTATGTCTTTGTACCCTAAATGATAAGCCAGAAATCTTGTTTTGGCATTAATCATTCTCATCATTGTATGTTTTAATTTTATTTATTTATTTTTTTAATTTTCTTAAGTGGAAAGAAAAGAGGACTGAGAAATGGCTCTGTATAATCAATCAATGGCTGTATGAATTATCTTTAAAAAAAATAGAAGTCCCTTCTATCAAAAAAAAATTCTTTATTGAACTTGTTGCAATATTGCTTCTGTTTCTTTTTGGCCCTGAGACATGTGGGATTGTAGGTCCCCCACCAGGGATCCAACCCGAACCTCCTGCATTGGAAGGCAATCTTGACTAACCACTGGACTGCCAGGGAAGTCCCCTGTGCAGTTCTTTGATTACAGTTAACCACAGTCCTAGCCTGGTTCCAAATAGGGAAAGGAGTACGTCAGGGCTGTATATTGTCACCCTGCTTATTTAACTTACATGCAGAGTACATCCTGAGAAATGCTGGGCTAGATGAAGCACAAGCTGGAATCAAAATTGCTGGGAGAAATATCAATAACCTCAGATATGCAGATGACACCACCCTTATGGCAGAAACCAAAGAAGAACTAAAGAGCCTCTTCATGAAAGTGAAAGGAGAGTGAGAAAGTTGACTTAAAACTCACCATTCAGAAAACTAAGATCATGGCTTCTGGTCTCATCAGTTCAGTTCAGTTCAGTTGCTCAGTCGTGTCCGACTCTTTGCAACCCCATGAATCACAGCATGCCAGGCCTCCCTGTCCATCACCAACTCCCGGAGTTTACTCTGGTCTCATCACTTCACGGCAAATAAATGGGGAAACAGTGAGAGACTTTATTTTTGGGGCTCCAAAATCACTGCAGATGGTGACTGCAGCCATGAAATTAACAGATGCTTGCTCCTTGGAAGAAAAGGTATGACCAACCTAGACAGCATATTAAAAAGCAGAGACATTACTTTGCCAAAAAAGGTCTGTCTAGTCAAAGCTATCGTTTTTCTAGTAGTCATGTATGGATGTGAGAGTTGGACAATAAGGAAAGCTGAGTGCTGAAGAATTGATGCTTTTGAACTGTGCTGTTGGAGAAGACTCTTGAGAGTCCCTTGGACTGCAAGGAGATCCAACCAAGTCCATCCTAAAGGAAATCAGTCCTGAATATTCATTGGAAGGACTGATGTTGAAGCTGAAACTCCAATACTTTGGCCACCTGATGCGAAGAACTGACTCGTTTGGAAAGACCCTGATGCTGGGAAAGATTTAAGGAAGGAGGAGAAGGGGACGACAGAGGATGAGATGGTTGGATGGCATCACCAACTCAATGGACATGAGTTTGAGTAAACTTTGGGATTTGGTGATGAACAGGGAAGCCTGGCCTGCTTCAGTCCATGGGGTCACAAAGAATCGGACACGACTGAGTGACTGAACTGAACTGAATAGTCCTAGACTTTGCTTCTGCCATTCTCTCTGCCAAGCATTATTCTCATACATATTGGCAGTGCTTGCTCCCTTAGATCAAGGATTGACATTTTCCATAAAAGGTCAGAGAATCACTATTTTATACTTTGTGGCCCTATCATCTCTGTTGCAACTACTCAACTCTGCTGTGATAGTGCAAAAGCAATCATAGACAATACATAAATGCATGGCTCCAATATATCTTTATTTTTGGACACAAATTTGAACTGCTTATGAATTTCACATATGCAATATTTTTCCAAGAAATTTTAAACCATTTAAAAATGTAAAAACCAGGTGGTTTTTTACCACTAGCACTACCTGGGAAGCCCCTTAGCTCTTTGAGCTGTACAAAAATAGGCAGCTAGCTCGTCAAATTTGACTCACAGGTTGCTGACTCCTTCCTTACTTATATCTACCAGATCTCTGTTCATATGTGCTTCTCTGGCCACTTCATTCCACACAGCCTTCTCCTCTCTCTATTCCTTTGCTTTGTTTTATTTTTATTCATTGAACTCCTCCAGACTTAATATATATTTTTATTTGCTTATTTCCTATCTTCCTTCTAGAATATAAGCACCGTAAGGCAGGGCGTTGGTCGGTTCTTTTTTTCAGAATCGCTGTCAGTATGACAGAACCTGAAACAAAATAAATGCTCAATACTTCCTGAATGAATATTTTAGTGCTGTTTTGATATTGTGACTTAGGGTTTCACCAGTGGCTCAAGCGGTAAAGAATTTGCCTGTGTGCAGGAGATGTAGGAGATGGGGGTTTGATCCCTGGGTTGGGAAGATCCCCTGGAAAAGAAAATGGCAACATACTCCAGTATTCCTGTCTGAAAAATTCCATGGACAGAGGAGCCATGGACAGTTAGTCCATAGGGTTGCAAAGAATCGGACACGACTTAGCACATACACACACAACACACAGTAAGAAATAAATATTTGGTCTTCATTCCTCATTTCTGGCACAGAGCTCCTGAAACTTGGAATTTCTTAAGTAATAAGAGTGACAAAAGTGTCTTTTATTATGTTAATAAAGTGACTTTAGGACTTAGGGTGTTGGTAGCCAGGAGAACCATGTGATTTTAAGGTTGGAACTTTCATCTCCACTTCCCACCCTGACCTGTGGGTAGGAGGTAAAGGGGGTGGAAAAGGAGCTGGAGTGTGAATAAATGTTCATGGCTAATGATTGACTCAATCATGTTTATGTAATGAAGCCTCCTTAAACCCCCCAAAAAAGATGGCTTTGAGAACTTCTGGTTTGGCAAACAAATGGAGATTGATGAGCATGGTGATTCTCTGTACTCTTTCCCCATACCTGACTGTATGTATCTTTTATCTGACTATTCCTGAGTTTTATCTTTTATGGTAAACTGGCAATCTAGTAAGGAGACTGGTTTCCTAAATCCTGTGAGCCATTCTAGCAGATTAATAGAACCCAAGGAGGGGGTCATGGAAACCTCTGATTTCTAGACATTTCCAAAGCACAGGTGACAAACTGGTCTTAAGACTGGTCTCTGAAGAAGGGAGGAAGTGCCCTCATGTAGAATTGAGCCCTTCACCTGTGGGGTGTGATGCTATCTCCAGGTGGATAGTGTCAAAGTTGAGTTGAATTAAAGGACTCTCACCGGTAGAGAAGTGCTGGGTGGTATGGGAAACCCCCTACACGCATTGACACACACACCAGAATTGGGGGCAGAACCCTTAGCTGGTCATCTCTCTATGATATTACTCATTAGAATTAGAATTTATTGTGGTGGCCAGAATTAGAAATTATTCTTAGATATAGTCTGAATCAATGCAGAGTAAAATAGAATGATGTTTCTATTAACACAGTGAATTTTTTATAAAGCTGTATTCAAATAGAAATTATGACAAAATCAGATTTCTCTAAAACTGTACTTGTGATTGATGTTTTTTGGACTTCTATTGAATTCTCTGTACTTGCATTGTTGGTTTGGTTTTGTACATTGGTTTGTTAAATTATTTTGTACTTTGACAGCCCCTGCATCAGCTATCCTGGATAGCCACAAGTCTGACAGTGTTTACTGTGTTCCTCCAGACCTATCAGAGTAATGCAGAGGGGACTGATTCTACATGACTCTCTCAGGCGGCTGGAGCGCCATTAACCCAACCTACGGGAAAATCTTCTAAGTGGTCCTTTAGTTCAGGATTACAGGAAAGTCCTCCACACATGAATTAGGAGTGGAGGGAAGGGAGACTTCAGATAACTCAACCAAAAGTCAATAGCTGAGGTATGCAAAGCAGAGGAAATATTTGTTGCTGTTTTTGTCAGGCACTAAGTCATGTCTAACTCTTTGTGACCCCATGGGCTGCAGCACACCAGGCTTTCCTGTCCTTCACTGTTCCCTGGAGCTTGCTCAGACTTGTGTCCATTGAGTCGGTGATGCCATCCATCCAGCTCATCCTCTGTCACCCCCTTCTCCTCCTGCTTCCCTGGTGACCCAGAATCCCTCAGGTAAAGAATCCGCCCTCAATGCAGGAGACCCGGCTTCAACTCCTGGGTTGGAAAGATCCTCTGGAGAAGAGAATCACTACCCTCTCCAGTATTCTTGCTTTTAGAATTCCATGGACAGAGGAGCCTAATGGGCTATATAGTTCATGGGGTTGCAAAGTGTCGCACACAACTGAGTGACTAACACTTCCAGTTTCAGGAAATGCTCAATATCAATATTAATATGTCTAAAGAGAGGATGTGTCTATCATAAGGGTGTGGAATCAGCTGTGGAGAAACAAAGGTGATCCTTGAGACCAACATCAGCCTCACTTCTCTAGCCTTCTGTCAAGCCTCCTGATGGAATTTCTCTGTTCAAAGTTGCATATTTGGATCACTTAACAAACTCTCTTTGTTATATCTGATTCCACATTCATATAGACACATTTTGAAGATTGAGCTACTCATGTGATAAACCCACAGGGAGAGAATAGGCTGCTAAGATTGACCCTACTCTCTGGGCTTTTTTTGTGTGTGTAATTTCAATATAGCACTGTTAAAATGACAAAAACCATTTGGTTTTAATCAGGTTCTCAGGGATTTTGTAGTCAGGAAGAGATCGAATTTCTGAGTAAGCCAGGCTGAAGGTCAGAATCTCAAGAATGGTGAATATATCAAGGGACTTGCCATTTTGCAGAGGCCAGTTTGGGACATTGATTAGCATGTGTATTTGGCATGATAATCCAGTAAGGCTTTTGTCAAATTTCTCTCTGAAACAAAATAAGTTATTTATGGCATTAGTTACACTATTGAAAAAGAACATTAAATAAATTTGACATGATTTGTTCTTAGTGAGTGCCTACTGGCTCTTGATAAATATATTCCTTTAAATACTTGCCACAAGATGTTTCGATATCTATTAAAGACTTTTCCAGGTTTGCTAGTTTGAAGGTTTTGGTGTCTGTACTATCCTCGTTATTCTATTTATTTATTTATTTGGCTGCATCAGGTCTTGGTTGTGGCACTCAGGATCTTTAGTTGTGGCAAACTCCTAGTTGCGTCATGTGGAATCTAGTCCCCTGG